TTTGTTGTTGTTGTTGTTGTTGGTTCAGTGATGTTACATACTATTTTTAACTTCAAATGAATCAAGCACATTTTTAGGTTATTATTTCTGTCAGCTGCTCAGAGCTGACAAATCAGAAACATACATCAGGAATGTATGTTTTGCCATTATTATAGAGGGTTAGAATGTGCATAACTTTACCATTGAATAATAATTATATTACAGGATTATTGGTTAATCCAATTAATTTTGTTTTGAGATGTTTAAGTAGTGCATGGTCTCTGTCATGCATTGATTTATTCATTTTTACAACATCCCAATTTGTAATTAATTTGGCTAAATGGATGTCTTAAATTAAACTGGCCTGAAATATAACAAAAGCTATATTATCCCATTTAGCACTTTGCAGAGTACTGATCTGACATTTTATTTTAAAATAAAAAGGTAGCTATCAGTGAATATTACACGAGACCATTTCAAGACTTCATGTTACAAAAGCACAGCAAATATTTTGTGAGAAAACTGCCAATGCTTCTGATGATTGGTGCTCTCTCTTTGGAATCTGATAACTCTGAAATGGAGAGAGGATGGGGCATTCAGCATGAAATCTAGACCTAGCATGAGTGCTAGAACGACCATACTGCCTCAGCTGGAATAGTAAAGATCAGCACCATGGACAGCAACTGAATTTATAAATGTATAACTTTCACAACACAGTGTGAGTAGATTAAATCCAGTGCACTATTTAGGTTCAGTGTGAACCTAACTGAACTGTTAAAACTGTTTTTGTAACTAAAAACAAGACCTTGATTACATGATGAGGAGCTTTAGCATGTATATGGCTGTAAGGTAATAATACATCTTCCATAAGTTAATGGAACCAGATGTACAATATGTTTCTATGTCACTGGATCAGAAGTGAACATGATCTAAAAACAAGACCTTGATTATTATGCTTTTTAAGATATTTTGAGTTTTCAATAGTCAATTGTAACCAAAAACTGTTTGGTTGCCAAAATTCTTAAGTACATGTAAAGTAAAGGGTAAGTAAATGAATTTTCCTTTTTGGGTGAACTATTCTTGTAAGATATACTGTCATTGTGGAGCCACAAACAATATTTTATTGGCTTGTGTATTTGTACAAGCTTAGGTTATTATCCTCTGGTAGTGGGGGTTGCTGTATTGCCCACCACTTGCCCCCACAATACATAAAATCTATAAAAGATACATTAAAGGCAGACTGAGTGCATGCATCTTTTTATTATGACTTTTCTTATGTCCATTTGTTTCTAAAATCATCACTGAGTAGTGTTTAATACTAAATAATGTAATTGTAAATGAGCTGCAGCATCTTCATTAAGAGATTATCTTCATTCATTATCATTCAATATTTTAGCAAAGTAAACACACTGATAGCAAATTACACACACACACACACACACACACACAGTTTGTCGTTCTTTGAAAGATGCACACTTCAGAAGTATGTTGTATTGTATAGGCAATGGGACTCTGTTTTCTATTGCTTATTATGGAGTTCAAATATACAGTTTGCTTTGTAGTTTTACTCAACCCAATACACGTTGTAATGCCTTCAAAAAAGTTATTATTTGCTGTGACTAATTAGAGCTGATTCAGACATCTCAGATTCAATATCAATATTTTCTCTAATAGGGGGTCTGTTTATTTTCAGTATGAATATTGATTAAAATTGTGTGATATAAAGCATTTGGTCATTTCACTTTGAAGCAAAACTACATCCCCTGGAAATCTGCAAAAATGATCACGTATTGTAAATATTTGTGAGTATTTACATACATATCATTGACCACTGTCAATGGGACTCATTTAAAGCAAGAGACTGCACTCTCTTGTTTCAGTAAGATGGAAACTAACAGCGAGACTGACAGACTGCTCATGAATTAGCGCGCAAAGCTGCTGCACTTCTTGTAGAGTAACAGCTGTCAAGAACATTACAGTGCAACAATATCTCTACGTGTTTAATATAATGAGGTGCCAGTATAGGGTACAATAATTATATTATTTCTCAGAAATCCGATAAATCCGCGAAAGTGTGATGTCATTTCAGGAAAGCAAAATGATTCGCAAGTAGCCATTCAAGCCTCAGTTGCGCGAGCCTCTGCGAGATTTGCGCGATACCGTTTGACCTTACCCTGACTGTCGTTTGCACGAACTTTCCACAATTCGCAGTTCATTTAATCGAATGTAATTAAAAACAATCCTTCGTTATTATTGCGACAAAAAAAAAAAGGCTATACTCATGGCGCCCTGCACGTTGAACTCATGGCTTTGCTGTAATGACGGTCTGTAGGTCTGTTTGGCGATGAAAGGATGCGTACTGCTAAAATGAAACTCGTTCATTAGGCTACTTCATTTGAAAATGTCGTCAGTCAGACAAAGGGTTAACTTTATGGTTAATTAATACAAGTAAGACGGAATGAATATGGACTAACCCAGCCGTTGGGTAAAATTTTTACATTAAATTTTTAACCCAAAAGTTGGGTTAGTCCATATTTGACCCAAAGTTGGGTTGAAACAACCCAGCATTTTTTAGAGTGTATTATAATGCGTTTACGGTACGTGTGTTTGCCTGTCGATCTCAATGCCTTTGTTGTATGGGTTGTAACCCTCGCCTTAGTAAAGAGCATAACGAAACATGGCGATACATCACACTCTTGCTGCGCCTCTAATCGCATTTCTTTAATGGGGACGTTCAAAAAGAAAGCAACTTATCTCAAAGTCCCCCGGGAATATTCCGGTATATATTTAACCAGGCTGCAATTAACGACAGTATCAGCTTGTATCATTTAGAGGTAATGTAAAAATAATGGTAAATTATAGGGCCGGAATGACCCGTGATCGCAGACTCCATATTCCCTATAGTTTTAGTGTCGTTTTAATTAATGCCAGACTCACTTTCTCACCAAGGAAAAAAACAAATGTGTTAACAGAGCAGGAACGCTTCACACTATTGGATTTTTTTGTTTCATTGAAATATTGATTTTAAAAGGAAGATCAAAAGACCTCCGTGAAAAATGTACTAACAATACATTGAATTTACGTGTATTTATTATTGTTCCGAATTTAGACGGGACAAAAAAAACTAAATTATAAAGTTAAGTAATAAAAAGGTGGGTGAAGTGGACATTTGTGAATCAAACGTTGTTAGGCCACATCTGTTACATCTGATTTTGAATTTGCTCGACTTTGATGCTTTCAGTTAAAACTGCAATTAGCTATTTGCAACGTGCACAATGATAACGATATTAAAATTTGCGTTTTAAATATTTATTTTCCAAGAACAACACCATCAATAAATAACATAATATACATTTTTATATTGCACATTTTTATCAAGTGAAAATATGAAAATTCATACAGTCGGCAATATGTAAAATACAGAGACGTAATGTACAGAGTCGTGTATCAACGGCAACCCTTGGGAGAGGAGCAAAACACTGGGATTTTAGTATGTCATTTATTGAACAGAAGGCAGCCAGCCCCGCGCAACAACTCAGTAATATAAAAAAAAAAAAATCTGTTTGTTTGTTTTGTTTTGTTTTTATTTCATTTTATTTTATTTTTTTATTTTATTTGAAATGGAAACAGCAATGTAATGTGCTTTATATACAATGAGTGATAATTTTTGCTTTCAACATGATTTCAGGCCTAATATTTCTTCTTTTTTAAAATCGTTCTGTAGTCTGGTGAATTCATGTCAGATTGTTTAAGTACCTAAAACAATTGTGTAATCCTACATTAGATAAATATCCAGCCAGTCACATAAATTAAATAATAATTTAAAAAAAAAATGTAAAAACAATAATAATTTCGAGTGAAAGTCAAAATTTTGGTTTAATACAATTTAAACGTGACTATGCGTGTTATGACAAAATATCTCACCATTTGAGCTGTACAAGTGCTATTTTGCTATTTTTAAAATGTGGTTTTATGTAAGGCAGAATTCCGCCCAGTGACAAAAAAAATATATATATGTATGCAGACAGAAATGCATGAGCAATTTGTCTGAAGTTTGGGGTTGTGTGGATAATCCCATTATATTGTGAGTGAAGAGTCTCTACTGGGAGTATTATGGAAATATCGGTTTGGATTTAATGAGACTGCTCGCATCAGCGGAACATCTCTGAGAAAAAAAGTCTACCCAGGCCGACCAACGTTCCAATAAGAAGATTGGAAATAGGACTCGGTGGAAAGGGGATTTTCTTTTTTTTTTTTTTAATAATAAAAAAAGAATTCTCAGGTAACGAATACCACGTTTAATACTGTACAATCTACACACCAATAACAATGCGAAATGCTCAAGGTCTTTTATCTATCTTGTCTAATGACTTCCCACAGCGGGTTGTTATGCTTTGACAGCGAGTCTCGGAACGGGAACTTTCTTACATTTCCACATTCAAAGGAGGTCCATCAAGGTACATGATTGGCAATTTTCGTCATAATCTTCACATTATTAACAGCAGAATTGACATTGTAGCAGTAGTGCAGGTTTTATGCGCCACACTCCTAGATCAGGGAGAGTCCCTCGAGCAGCAGCACTTTCAGAATAGCATCATTATCTTACGCCTGGTCCCTTAACCGATCCTAAAGTGGCACAACCAGTGTATATTCTCTTTACTGTGGTCCAGTCTAATCGAAAAGAATATATGCATACAGTTGTAATAAATAATAATAATAAGAATAAATAAGAATAAATAAAATAATTAGGCCTACTATAATAATAATAAACCTACTCATATTTAAAAATCAAATAAAAAAATGACCGTTTTGCTCATTCTGTAACGCACTGTTTTAATACTGCGTTGTAACATGTTTTAAAAGGCCTTCGATTTCAATAACAGTGTATTTTAAATATTTTTCTTAATATAATTCTGGGCGTTACAGGCCTTACTGGAATTGAAATGCTGTCCCTCAATTTAAAAATAATAATAATAATAATTGCATGTGCTTCAAATGAAGGAGTGTATGCCAGTTCTAAGCTATCTATTGAGCGCGCTTTCTTCTCTCTGGTCCGGTGAGGGCACCGCAGTTTTGCTGAGAACTGCTGCCGAGTATGGCAAAAATCCGCTCTCGGACCTCTGCCCTGTCGCTGTGCAGGTGAAATCAGAGCTGGTGCTCCTGGAGCCCAGTGCGCTGGCGGCCTGACTGCTGTGGCAGCTGAGACATGAGCACGGCCCGGTATTTTTATCACTTTGATTTGTGCATTAAAATAAAATACACAAGCACGTAAAATAATATGTGTGATTGTATTTATAAATGTATAAATGCAATTCAGCTGAAACATGTTGGGATTACATTTAACTTTATTTTTTCCAATCAAAATGATTTTAAATAAAAAATAAAAGCCTCAGAGCATCAACAATTAAAGACAAACGTATCCACTGGTTTATATATATAATTTTAACACTGCAAAATTTATGCAGGGCACACAATGCAATCACAGATATAATTTAATTCGTTTAAGGCAACGGTAAAAGACTTGCAAGCTTACAAAAAGTCTTTGGGAAAATGCTACCATAAAATATAACATAACATAAGAAAACCTGCATTTGAAAAATAATAATTAAAAATAATAATAATTCCAATGAGAGCTATATTTGAAACTGTGTGATGCCCACTCAAATTAGCATTTGAGCAAATTTATAAACGACTTGATCAAAGTTTCCATGCAAATTGTTTACCTTTGCTATTGTTTTCCTTCTGTTGGCTGATGCTGCCCGGTGAGCGATGAGACGGGCAACCCACTTCCACATCGCTGTTCATATCGGAGTCAGGAGAAACTTCAGGGTACAGGTTTATTTTCTTCCTGCTTTCGGAGGACGACACTTCTGTGGAGGAGGTATTGTCGCCGTGGTGGGCTCCGAATAAGCTGTCGATTTCGAACTTGCCTTTGGTGGGAATATCCCCGAGACTGCCATGCAGCGAGGCGGAAGTTATTCTCGGGCTGAGGCGACCTGCGTGCTGAGGATTTTCCAGGGCCTCAAGCACCGCGTTCCCGGCCGAGTCAGAGAGGTTGGAGAGCCTCTTTCCTGCCACTGGACTGTGTAGTCCCCTTTCCATCAGAATCATTTCTTTTCTTATCCTCTCCATCATGAAGTCGTGCAGAAAAAATCCAAAGTCCCAGGGCTGGTGCTCCGATGACTGGTGGCGGATCTAATCCGCATTCAGCTCAGCTACCGCCTCTAAATAATATAACACCTTTATGAGCTGGAAGCAAAAAAACAGAGGAATGCCAGTGCGGGCAACGAATGACTGCTCAAAATGGCCCGCGCATCCTCTCTGCTCCAGAAAGTCATTCATCAAAAAGTGGTTTGCGCCTTCGTCGTTAAAGGTGCGCGTGACGCGGTTCGAATGATCATTTATTGTAACAGGTTTATAAGCAAATAAATAGGAGAGAGACTGTCATCGGTTGATAGAGTCGGCCCTTGATCGGCCAGACGCGTATATCCAGGTGGAGAGAGAGAGGAGAAGTGAGGAGAGCAGCTTCTGATCCGAGTCTGTTTTAGATGGCTCCTGGGGTTGGCCTCTGGGGTGAAATTGACAGTCTGATTAATAAAATGAGCGCGGCAACATTTCCCTCTTCATTTAGGAATATCATTATGCTTTGATTCTCTATTGTTCCCTCCTTCTGTTCTGGCTCTCCCACTCCCTCTCTCTGAGCTGTTTCTTTTTTCTTTCTCTGTCGATTATTTCACACAGACGTTTTCGAATGAGAGGCATTAGTTAAAGATTTTTGCATCCAATTAGAAGATCCCGTTGTGAATATGGTTGTTCGTTACAAAATAACAATATGGGCGCATTCAATTTAGTGACCATTTTTAAACGCGCGGGTTTCTTATTTGTCGGAGATACTATAGCCTATGATTCAAGCGTTTGCAAAAGCTCATCTTATATAGATATTTTTGAATTATTTGTTGGTTGAATTATTTATTAATTTTGTTATTGGTAGTCGTCTTCTAACACCTTTCTTGTTTTATATCTTATAGCCTGAGATGCATTATTTTCGTCAATTGATGGCATGCTCATTTCACCACATCGCATAGAGTTAAAACTGACTAATCACGCACAATGACACATTTCGTACATTAAATTCATGTTTAAAATTCATGTAAAAAAAAAGACTGAACCAAAATTATGTGATGACACACGAAAAACCTTTTAATTCGTTCTACACATATATTCACAGATATGGACTGATGTCGTCTTTACGTTTTATTGCTACATAATTATAGTACGCAGATGTGAATACTGTATAGGGATTATAATTATGATCAGTGCCAATCTAGATCGCTGATCACACTTAAACACGTAAGAAATCTAATAGGCTATGCAAAAGGGCAAGACTAAATATTTTACCCAGTAACGTTTCTCACAATAGCCTATGTCGACTATAGACATTTTAGCGCATGTCTCAAACGCTGTAAAATAGGTAATGAAAAATATGTTTTAATATGTGATGCTGAGTCTATAGTCTGCGCTCTCAAATCAAGTGTTAACGTGGGGGCGTGAGCGGCTCTTTAAGGCGAGGTTAAGTTATCCACTTCAAGGAGAGGGAGACGGGGGAGCGTGACAGGGACGCGCGCTAAACTGTTTTTGCGTTCTTTGGCGCCCTCGCCAGTTTTTTCACAGATAATACAACAACTTGAATTCGGTGAGTGTTCAAGGTAGTTCATTAACCGTAGTTCTTACACACCAACCCATTTGTTCATTTATTGTAATAATAATTTAGTTATTGTGACATCTGTACAATCCAATGACAAACGAAATCAGCAAAAGGGACACAAACCTACACTGTAAAAGATTATTGTGATTTTAACAGTAAAAGACTGTAAAAATGCTACAGTAAAAACCTGTTAACTGGTTAACAGTAAGTTTCCATTCTATATTCGGTGAATAAATGTAATTACATTTAATGTGATTCTACAGTAAAATACTGTTAAAAATACGTTTTTTGGAAGTGAAAAAAGAAAAAGTCATTGTATAATTTACAGTAAAAAAACGTAAGTTGACACTCCTAGAATATATCTTCTGGAATGACATGAGGATGAGTAATAGTATAGTTGAGAAGGGTTATTTATTTATTTTATTTCTTTGAAGTCAAGACCATTTTATTAGTCCACTTCTCACAATATATATCATTTCAAGGTAACTTTTCAAGAAAAAAAAAAATTTACAGTAATGCCTCAAAAAGTCCCCAGCAGTTTAATTAAAAATATTTCTCCTCTGGCTTGACAAAATTGAATGCTAATAGTTAGTCATATATGCAAGTCATGTTTGTTAGGTCAACTAAGTAGATGTACATTCACAGTCAATGTGCGAAACTTAAAGTTAGGCTACTTACCGAAATTGTAAAGTTCCAACACAAAAAACAACTCTGTGCACAAAGCGGGGTCCACATAGAAATGCAGTATATACGCTTATGAAATTACAAAACACATGTGTCTTCCACGCCTGACTCTGTAAATAGTGGGCTTCGCTTTGTAGGCTACATACAAGCACACTCATTTTGAAATGGAAAATAGCCCTGACGAAGCAGCTGCAACAAAGTTGAAAATCCTATATAATGCTTTAGACTAATCTTGATGCGACTATAGTACTTGCCGGTTGCAAGTTTATTCGTTATCAGCATAGTTTAACAATTCAATGTTTCCCAAAACCATAGTTCCGGAAAAGCATTGCAATCTTCTTTAAACTACAGCGCTCGACCTTTAAGTAGGCTATAGTGTGTCCTGTTAGTATGACATGGACTTAAATATATCACGGTCCTGGGCAAAATAGGCAAACTAACATGCAGGCTGCGTTTCACAAAAGCATTGTAGGAAGTTCGTTGTAGATGAATGCTCCTGGAGAAATAGAGTGCGCTTGTAAGGACACAGACAGACACGTGCAGCCACCTGCGGGACAACTGCAAAATTACACCTAATATTAATACAGTTATGGTTAATACGTGAATACATGTATTACTATATTTACTTTTATTTAAATTAATTAAAATGTTTTCTTAATGTATAAATAATTAAATATTGATTAATTCATTATTATAGTACACAATTTTCCTGTTTAACACTGTAAAGCTGCTTTGACACAATCTGTAGGGTAGGCTATTGTAAGCGCTAAATAAAGTTGACTTGACTTGATTAATAACATACACGTGGTAAGTACTGATTTATAACAACATATACATACAATAGAGAGAATATGAGAGAATATGGCTGACTGAGCATAGTCATATATTAATCATATCTTGGCTCGCCAAAACGCGTCTTCCCATGACTTCCCATCTTTATCCTGATCAACAACAGCCTATAGGCCTACTAAGACCCATGCTCAGCTTTTACAACTTTTCCAATGCAAGTTAAATATTAATATAATAATTAGATAGGCTATTATTACATATAATTTGGTAGAAAAACAGTGTTACACGTTTTACTGGTGCAAAGATGAGTAGTGGTGATATTTATTTTGTACATTTGCAACTGCTTTTCATCACTTAATTAGAAGCAGCTGCAACTTAAACTGTCATCTGTTATAGGCACTACTGAACAGATATTTAGAA